CCCCCCCCCCCGGCTCGACGCCCTGTTCTGAAGAGTCCCACCAGGATAGTTATCTGAAGCTCGACCATTTTGATCTTATTACTGCCCAGCTAAGCTGATTAAGGTATCGCCCTAAGGTACCAAGCTGCGTTGTCACACACGTGGCTTTCTTTACAATGCCTCGTCGTCCCGGTAGTGGCACATAATTAGTAGCCACTGAAGTTAGTTTTTCGTACAGCAATTGGTACGGGCGAGTCGGTGGTGGAGACCGATATTGATTGTGCGACCATGATCCTTGCGCCCCATATACCTCAGTTTCACGGTTGCCTGGATGTTTCTTGGGGGACCCTAGGGTAGAAAGACTGTCCCAGCGCGAGTTCCTTATCAAGAAGATTAAACGACTGCAGCGCAGCACCCCCCCCATGCCTTTGAGCCTTTGTTTGGTGTCAAATCTCAAATTAATTGACTGGGCGAAAACCTCGTGAAATCCCTCCCCCAACTTGTTGTGGCGCTGGTATGCCTTGGAAAGCCGCGGATGGCCGACCACCGTGTCAAACCCTTTACAGTTCAAGCTCTTTCGTTGGTGCCCAAAATCCCCTGGCAGAGGGAGGTACAGCTTTACAGGTCTAGATGAGTGGATTCACCTGAAAGTTTCGTTGGCGCCCGGAAGCGTCGCTCCGTGCAGGCATCTAGTTACATGTAAAGTAGGCACGAAGCAAACCAGAAGGAGACACCTACGACCGGTCAAGCAGCGGGAAGGTCATGCCTCCGCGCCCAACACGTGCGAGCCGTGGATTCGCTGAGCCGTCACCGCCATTTTGGAGATCTGACAAGTCGCGGTGAACTCAGAGCAAGTAGTCTAACGAATGTGGGCAAGCAACTTTCGAACATTTTCCCGGCCCAATTCGTCTCCTATAGTCGATTTAATCCTATGTTTTTGATGCTCCTCCATTCATTACCCTTGAAATGATGTTCGCCACACGAATCTCAACGTGGTTGTCACGCACAATCATTCCATCTTCTCAGAGAAGTGCCGACTCCGGTCAGGATGTTCGCCGGCCGTACCAAGGCGGCATGACATTCCACTTTGAAAACGACGGATATGCTCGGCCATCTCAATTTGGTAATCTCCGGAGGCTAGGTCGAGCTTTGAAAGGTTCTGCGCGTCAGTCTTGAGTCCGTGACAGGTGAAAGGGGATAAGCACCTTTCTTCGTGATGTGTTCAGGAGTCGATAATTGATACTTACCGCCTAGCTTTGCTATATTACGAACAAGGTAACAATCTATTAAGGTATTGTAGACACCGGGAACTAGGCTTTCCCACAACTCCCGCCCATACATGTCCCCTTCGTCGAATATCCATATCTCTTGGTCTCTGATTTGTGGATTGCCTTTCCACTTGTTGAAATTTTCCACACGAGTAGCGTTCGCCCTATCGAGGATCAAGTTTTCGCCACCCTCTCCGAGAAAGCGCACTCTTCGAATGTATGACCCTTCCTTTGGCGTGTTAAAGTCTGATTTTAACAGCCGGAAAGGAAATCTCATAACTCCTCCCGACCGCGACAATACCGCGCTTACAGGATCGTGAGAGCCGCCAAGCAGTTCCAACTCTCGAAGTCTCGCTCCTAATGCAGGGAAAGATTCCTTAGGTACCTGGCGAGTGCCGCTGTGAGGCTGACGATAGAGTTCAAAAAATTAGAGTGGGTTGGGGGGGGATGTCGATCGATTTCATTTCCAACACCCCTAGCATATCGTTGGACAAATGTGCTAGATTCCCCCCAAAACGACTCCAGAGAAGCTTCATGACACGCCAACTCCGTTGTGCGGTTAGCTTCTAAAATCCGGGTTCTCCAAAGGCTGATCCGGATACCAAATAAGTCTCCAGCTCACAAACGATTAGCAACCTGGGAGAAGATAAAGTCTAACCTTTGTATGTTAAGCCAGCCCAGACCTCCTCCTGTCTTTTCTGCGAGACGGATTCTCTCGATCTCCTCCAATATCTCTGTTACGGTCTGCCGAGCGTCCTTGGTCAGATGAATATCCAGCGGAAGCTGTCCCCACCAACAGACGGCGTCAGATGCAGCTTCGAAATTCCTCCCCTCAAACTCAGCCTCCAAGAGCTTCAGGCTGTGACGATGTATCCATTGCCATGCTTCTCGCGTGTCAATACGCCCACTAAATCTTTCATCAAGTTGTCCCAAAGACCGGGATATGAGGAGAAAAGCTTGTTCGAGACTCCCATGGTTCCCAGAGCGTTCTTCGCGAGGCCCCCGCATATGCATCTGCACCATCGTGACCAAGCTCTCGGAGCACATTGTCGCACTCTTTTGACAAAAGTCATGTTCTTTAATGATGTCGGGCAGGAGCAACAAGGGCTTCTCGGAAAATCGAGCCGACTGAGAAATAACATCCAGTAGCGTGACATCAAACGCGGTGGTCTTGAATCCGACAAATCTCCACATCGTCAGAATAAGACGCACAGATTTACCGCACTCCCGGTCTACGGCCGTCTTGAGTAATGCTCCGATATCCATAATTCGATCGATAGAATCTCGGCTCGCCATGTTCAACTCATCCTCGAACCTTGCGGCGTCGCATTTCTCGAATATCAAATCCCATACGCCCGAAGCACATGTGACCGATTCTTGACGGGCTTCGTCGATGCTTTTCTTGGAGCTTTCCGCCAGAGCTCTCAAGAGGTAGGACCATGAGTTCGGAAGGTCGATTTTGGCCACCCTTTCCAACAGGGTGAAAAGATAGTAGGGAGAATGACGCGTTCCTAGGAGGCTTCCGAGGTAGATCGTTCTGGAGATCACCGTCCGTGAGCGGTCAAGGAGTGTAGTGTAAAGCTGACTCGATCCTTTACCGAGACTGAGAAGCTGAGTTACCGTCGCGAGGTCTTGAAGCTCTGGCATTGTCGCCGCGAGATTGTGTTCTGTTATGTCCTTGTGCCCCTGTTCCAAGATGGTAACAAACAAGGCTTCGACGAGCGCGTTAACTTGAGGCCCATGTGGACCGGACTCCTCCAAGAGACGCACGAGTAGCGACACTAGCAACTGTCTACTTGTGTCTCGACGGGCCTTCACCGCTTGCTCAATCAGCGAGATGATGTACTCAAGGTCGCGGTCCTCCGCGTGACCTTGGATCTTAATGAGGTCCAAGAGTAAAGTTGCGGATTGTTCGGCATTATTCCACTCATCTGGTTTCATTGGCGAAGAAATCCCATACAAATGTCGGCGTATGGCCTTCCAGCTCGTGAAAGCGCTAGTTTTAAGGTTGACCGCGTCAGGTAGGTGGTCAACAAGATCAAACGTTAGTCGAGCCTGGTCCCACTCTCTGCGTTGGATAGATACGACCGCCAAATCCCCGACGAGTTCCGTGAACATTGTCGCCGGGTGGCGATCTTTCGACTGAGTCCAGTACCCGCGTATAATACTATACCAATGCGTCGCCGACTCCTCAATTGGCTGACGGACGGACGAACCAGCTCCAATGTTGTTCTGTATAGCAGACGCAAGACGTTCTTGTATGGGTTGCCACATATCTTCTCGAGCTTTATCCTGAACCAGAGGGCGTGACTGAAATAGCATTCCAAGCATTTCTGACACATTCGTCGCGTCTTCGAAGGAGTTAGCGGTAATAAGATCTGCAACGACCTCGGCTAGTTTCACAAGCACTGAGAGTTCAGTCCTGAGTTCCGCCTTATCCTTATTTATCCCTCTCTTCCGAAGAGCGGCCGCGGCTTCCTCGTGAGCCACCGTTTGGGCATATACCTTCAAAACCACTGCCTGCACCAATGTCCAAGTCCGTATCGACCAACGACGAGTACCGGCCGTCATATTGTACCTGAGCAAACCTGCCAGCCATAGCCGACGACCCGGCGAAAAGGTTCCCTGGAACACCTGACCTAGGAGGGGAGGAAGGAGCGAAAAATGGATTATAGCCATCGGATGTGGAATTCCCTCGGGGTCGTCGTCTCGGAGGGCGTAGTCAATGGCCGCAACCTGGTCAGCCATATTTCGCATCCTCTTGACCTGGCCTTTGAAATCCTGTCGAAGCCCTACTCGAAAGGCGGCCGGACTCTTAGCGCCATGTGGATCCCAAAGTTGACCGCTGTTCGAGATGATCCCGCGTAAGGCGTGGTTACACCCTTGCAGCTGGAGCAAGTCGACCGCAGGAAGGTTGTCTAGAACCATGTAGAGAAGTTCGCGTCGCGGCTTCGGTCATCTAGGCGGAGGAATCGGGAGCGGTTTCGATTTCGTAGGACATTACGAGGCTACGGGTGCCACGTCCACAATGATTTTATTCACTTGTGGGGAAGAGCGCGTGTACTTGTACACGTGTCATTGGCGTCTTCGCGTGGTCACGTGCCAACTTTGCCAGGCTGTGGCGTAAGCAGCAAGATCAAGAGCCGGCTTCATATGTTGAGGCTTCAAAACGAAGGTGTGAAAGGTTGCTCCCAGCCCATCATTCCTCTTTTAGGGTCCCGGAAGCTACTGTGACAATTATTAGATAAGTTGATTGGGCCACCTACTGTAGCTAAGTAGCAGCTATCCTACTCTCGCCGCCAAGCTTCAAGTCGTTCGCCGGTGGGCTGGCGATTGATTAGACCGGGTGGCTATTAATGTGGTGTGCCAGCGAGGCTACAATATGATCTCAACGTAATTTACTACATTTATCACCCTTAGGTATTAGTAAGTGGATCTGGTGAGTAGATTTGGCGAGCAGATTTGGCGAGCAGATTTGGCGAG